TTGATTCTATATATAAGTGATAGTGAGAAGTTGGCTTCTTATACTTGTGACGTTGGGTTGAGTGGCGATATCGCCACTCAGGCAGCCTAGATGACGATGTCATCTAAAAGGTTCGAATCCATCACTAATATGGCAGTACGAACAGCCACGACCTAAAATATGGGCCAGCTGTGCGAATATGGAAATCAGATTGTTGGAGGCTGATACATCCTGTGTGACTATGTTCGTTATCTGGTTAAACGGAGACAATGAGGAAGGCTATCCCATCGAAGTCTTCAATGAACGCGGCTGTAGGGTTCAGTCGACTTACGTTTCAGCAAGTAAGAAGCGCTATGCCGTTACGTGTGCTTCGTCTCCTACATAGAACAACGACCTTGGTGCCCGAGCCTGTCCGAATCTCACGTTAATGCTAAACAGTGGCGCAAATGCCGAGGCCTCCAGCCCCGACACCAGTTGGAGAAATCGTTCCGTGGTATCAGACAATAAATGGCGAGCGACCCGACGATGAGTCGATGACCCGGCATACTGTACCAGTACCGCCCATAGGTTCTCGCACCTCGTGATGATCCGAGGGCTGAGTCCCCATGTGTTCTTGCCGCGCGGTGATCAAGACGACAGACGGGATGCAACGGTGCGAGAAGTGGATTTTGGCTGCGACAAGACAGCAGCAGGATCGCAGCTTGTCTCGCAACACCTTCTCAAAAAGCCGCCCCACTGCAGCCGGTACGGGATCTTTACACCATCTTCTACAGATAATGATTGCCGGACCTACAGAGTTCTTGTCCTCACGTATTGCAACGTCGGGGCGGCGGGTAAAACCGTCTTGGGTCCCTTACAGTGCCGTTTTACAAGCCGTCAAACCACACCTAAACAGGCACCAAATGTCTTGAAGTTCCGGCAAGTCGCTGCGCAACAGCCGGAAGGCCTCCTCCCGACCATCTTTTTGGAGTAGTGGTGTCGTTACGGTACAGTGAGGCTCAGGTGCAGAGCACCGAGTTTTAGTGCCCACTAAACTCGGAATTAAATCCTACGCTGTTGCAGGGCCTTATGTAATTGTCAACTGCGTGAGTTTTGCAAGAAAATTGGCCAAACCGAAATGCCATTCTGTCGGGATGGATGCCACACTTGACGAGGGCATGAGCGTATCATTGGTAAGTCAACACACTGCAGCCAAGACCTGCTACAGGCGATGAACGCCACTCGTAGCGAAGCTCCAGAACACAATGCTCAGAATTTCTTTACGTATTACTTCGTGAATTCGGAAGGAGGTCAATTTGTGAGTACCTACCAGCCCGCGGCATTCCATGTTGTGATGTCCAGCCAAGAGTGGTCTACGCGACGGCATCCATAAAAAAAATTAGCCAAAGTTAGCTGTTGATCTACACTTCTTGGTACGACATACGACCCATCCAGTGATGAGACGAATGAAGTGCCTAAGCCCGAATATATTTGAGAACAGGGGCGAGATTAAGCACAAAAGACATAACTTGCAGCTCATCTAGATTGAACATGTAGATCTTCACGTACGAAGCGACCGTGGTTAAATGGAAAATAGTATTTCTTCCGCTGGATTTGCGCAACTTCGTCAAAAGGAGTCGCAGCGGGCAACTACTCGAGTCGCCCCAATGAAGACAGCGCACATTCAAATACCCGACAGTGTCTTGCGACTGGCTCATGCTAGACGTCGAGTTTTTGTCATGTATGAGACCGATAAGAGAATTCGGTCTAGTAAAGACGACAGAAGGAAGCAAGCAAGAGCTCGAATGTCTCGAAGGGAGAGTCACCCACAAAGCGGGAGCTTCGCAGCCGAGGTCGAAAAAGCAGAAGCCACACTTCGGCTAACATCTTGGTTCCTCTCCGCTCTAGCGAGCCGGGAAAACGCATGTTCAGTGGTGGCACAAGAAAGCGACAGAAGCAGGCACGAGGCTGAAGAGGCAATTTCCAAGTGTAAACAAGAAACGATAGAAGCAATACGAACCTTTGTGTAGGATTTTCCGAACATGATGCTTAACTCTTAGTCTACCCGGTATGCCTCTGTTTTGCATACTTGATACGGAGGAGTCGAAAACAGCAGGTATACCTCCCCACTTGCGCTAAGGGATTTTCCGATGATCTGCCGGATCTGGTGATCTGCCGGATTGCGGCGACTTCGCACGCTCAACATCAATCGACAATAGCTCAACAACAACGGTGCCAATTGACGTATCCTTTGATTTCCTGAATCATCAGAAGCAGTGAAAGTCTGGCATATATTTAGAACTTTTATCTAGGGGCAATGCGCTGCGGTGCTGACATCAAACCAAGCAACGGCCAAAATAGGATGCCGACAGATTGTGTAAGTCATTTCAGCCAATACAGCAAAAACAGAACATTATTGGCTTTCATCGTAGGCTTTAATCATGTGGGATTCTCCCATTCTATCCATAGTGCAGAACTTGGCTCAGGATACTGCAAAAATGGGGTTGGAAGGGCGAGCTGGATAACTTCATTCTACGCACCCGTAATGAGCCAGATTGAACGTGATTCGACGGTACAAGCATCTTCTGAAAAGAACCTATCTATGCATCTGAATGTAAGGTTTATTTTTAGCTTGAAATTCAGTGCGCGAGGCTCCGCTTTCACACCTGACAAGGAAAGACGTGCACGAAAATTGAGAAATTCGACACCCTACCCTAAAACACGTATAACATGGATGAAATGGGCTTTCTATTCCTTATGAGCATTTGAACGAACAGGGTATTCTCTTATTATAAGAAAACAAGGCAAAATTGCTCGGCGTATTAAAAATGGCAACCCATCCTCCCTTACGTTCAAGATGTGCGTCAGTCAAGAGATGGCATCGCTGCCCCATTTCTCATCCACCAAGACAAGCCAGCACAAACTCTGGACTTTTGGTTCGTGAAACGTGAATCAAGTCGTCAATAAATATTTTTAACACGTCAAAAACGAGGTGGACGAATCACAATATTGGAAATGAGCAGCTCACCGGTACGTTCGACCGGTTTACCAGGGTGAAAGCTCGAAACGGTTGTGCTTATCGCCTTTTGGTTCCCGATGGCCACTTAACCATTTTAGTATCGAATTTATGGAGTGGTGTGACCGGCACCGAGTGATCGTTGTGGTGTTTCCCCCTCAATCCATTCATCGGCTGCAACCCTTGATGTATCGTTATTCAGCCTCTCTCAACAGCGTATACGCATGATCTTATCCAGTACACAGACAAATCAAAAGGTTCATTGGATTGCTGAAATCGAAGATCTAGACTGTGTTTTGGAACGCATTTCAGGAAGTAGTCGAGAAGACCTCTGTTGATGCTGGCCGCAACAGCCGAAGGCTGAGCAGCACCTCGGAGCCCTCAATATGAGTTTTAAGTGCTTGATATGAGAGTTAAAGTATGCAGAGAACAAGTAGTCACAAGAACCAGCGCAGGCAGACCGGTAAGGCTTCAAAGATGATCTCTTCTGCTGTACAGATTCTAGTGCAGACGAGGTGTTTAGCTCTAAAATTGTGGCTCAAGCTCGCCAAAAATGACAGTGAAAGGACTCCAAAGAAAGAGGAGGCTCTGAAGAAGGAGGCCTGAAAGCTTCAGCGACAGCAGAAGGCAGCGGAGCAAAAGCTCTCGCTCTAGAGAAGAGGAAGCAATGAGAGGCGGAAATTGGGAGAAAACGACGGATGACGGAGGCCGTGAAGCAAAATAAGGAGATAAATTGGCATTATTAACAAGAGCTGAAGATTTTGAAAGTGGAAAAGCCACAGAAAATGCAGAATGAGCGACGGGTGGCTTCTGAGGGTCGCGAGAGGAGTCAGGATGTTCACGCTGCAAAATTGTCACTCTTCCGTTCACACCAGAGCGGGCCATAGCATTGCAGGTACCAAACACACTATATAATAACGCAAATAATAAGGCAATGATAACTTCAAACGACATATCCTGTCCTCAAAGGCCCTCTTTAGCTGTTGATAGTGATCGGGAGGCAATGGGTGCATTTCGGGGACTTGCGCGATCGGAGAGTAACAGAAGACGACCTCGATGGCTGGATGACTTCAAAAAGATTGAGTGGCATCTTTGAGCATTATTAACTGCTCTTATAAGATTTTAGAACAATTCAAATAGTATTCGTGAAGTTATTCTCAGTTCTTTGCTGGAATGCAATGAGCCCAAAATCCGGCGAATCGCCAGATCCGGCAGATCACCGGAAAATCCCTTATAACGCATCTAAAATTCACTGCGCTGAGGCGAACGTACATGATAAGCGCGTGAAACGCAACGAAAAGTCACCCGCTGATGGATCCTTTTCGAGAGATCTTGAAAGATGAATCTCCAACCTCATCCTGATAGAGCTCCATGGTAGTGAAGTAGAGAAAGGGCGCTTTCGCGTCTTGAAAGCCCCACACTACCCCCTCTTTTCTGGTGGCAGATCTGCGGTCAACTCGTGCCTTGGCTAATCCATAAAACATATAAGGAACTATTATTTCTACACTACGTGTGGGCCTACACGTTTACTGGGGCGTAACGGTTACCTGACAAATATCGTTGCGTTGCCCCCCCTCAGGATTTATCTCACGGTAAAATCAGCCTTATTAGCCACAGAAGGTGCCAATTTAACAGACAAGTCAGCCTATCAATTTGTCTGCTGCGTGCGGGAGCAATACAGTATGCAAGCCGGGCGCGAAAGCTTGTGAGTGTTTCTACTGAGGCAGAACTGGCGACCAAACCATTTTATTCGTCGCTATCGCACAAATCCGAGAGATGCAAAGTCATTTACTCACCCTTCAACCTCGGCAATCCAGACAAGCTCGCCGCAGTCGCCTTCAGACTTCTATCTTCATCCGTCACGAACTACGCATTCCCAAACTCGGACGTAGGGGTCGCCGTGGGTCAGTGGGCTTGAGCTCTAGTTCCTCGCGTTCTAATTCTTTGCGCCCAAACTGACGCCGTCGGCAGTCTCGAATTGCGGTCTCTACAGCCAAAGGATAGCCATTGCCCATCAATATCTAAGATGCTTCCCCGATCTCCCACTGTCGATGCCTTCAACCAGCAAGCACTCAGGCACTTTGGAAACCAGCCAGTCAGCAGCGATATGATCGCGTATCTCGCGAGGATCGCGGACCGTGTAGTAAGCCACGGTTCACCACCTCCGCTCACGAGCCCGTGCGCCTCTCTTCAGCAGAAGGATTCGACGCCCTTTCCTTCCGAACTACTTCAGTATGGAGCTTGCTGGTATGAGCCTGAGAAGTCTAGGCTACCGGCACTGGAGGAGTTCATCGCGAATCTAGTAGTCTCATCTGAGCTCAGAGCCTTACCGCTCATGTCGACTCTCGTCTATCTCAACCGCCTCAAGTCAAAGCTGAATACGACGGCCCATGGCGTCTCTTCTACACCACATCGCATATTCCTAGCGTCACTCGTCGTGGCCGTCAAATTTCTCGATGATAGTCCACCCAAAAATAAACACTGGGTGTTTCACTCTAGCGTCCAGACTGCTACCTCGGCTCTTCAGTTCACCCAAGGCGATGTGAATAAGATGGAAGCGCAGCTCATATGTCACCTAGATTGGGATCTGACAATGAGCGAGCAGGACTTGTGCGCCGCAAAAGAAAGCATGGCGAGAAGATGAGGCAAAACTGATTCAAGACCTAGAAAGGTCCATTCCGAAGTGGACTGCAGGTAGCTACGGCCAGGGCGCTTCCAGTCAGGACGATCGATCCTTGCGTGAGTACAAACGAGTCTTAAAGGCAGCGCTTGGCCAACTCACTGCCTCGGTGAATTGGAAAGCACCGAGAACAATACCGCCGAGCAGCAGAAACGACACGTTGCATGAATCTGGGAGTCAAACCGATGAAATACGGCACAAAGAAGACGTGCCTCGCTGAGACCGCCACGCGTGAGCGTTGACCGTTGACCCAGTCAACGCCGTCGGAGAAGTCCTCTGGGACCGGGGAGTCGGCGGCGTTTGGGTTGGCTGGGAGCTGGCTTGGGTGGGCACCCGCTCGAAAGCCTCGGACGGTGTCATGGGTAGAGCCCGTTTTGCTTTGCCACGGGGAGTGACTTCGAGCAAGCTGTGCCTTGAGGAACGAAAGGCTTCTTCTTACCCTGCGAGACCACTCTTTTGCCTTGAGGAACGAAAGGCTTCTTCTTACCCTGCGAGACCACTCTTTGCCTTGAGGAACGAAAGGCTTCTTCTTACCCTGCGAGACCACTCTTTTCCAAAAATTTCCAACCCACTTTCCGGCCCTCTGATTGGTCGGCGCTTTTTACCCCGTGTCCCTCATCTTCTCATTCGTCGCCGTTCTTACCTCTGATTCGTCGTAACTCGACCCCTCTTCCCGCTCTTTCTTCCCCTCTTTGCCCCGAAGCCTCTTCCTGATTGGCCCCCCCCTCCTCTTGGCCATCTCTTGAAGACTCCCTCTCATTGGTCTTCTTTGGGGCCGGGCTGCCTCGGCCCTCCTCGCCCGCGTCCTCACCCGCGGAGTAGGCCGGCCGCCTCTCGCGTCGTCAGCCCGCTTAGCTCCTCCAGCCGTGCCTGCGCCGCTGTCATCTCCTTCGGCACCCGGTTCCCTATGAAGTCCCGCTCCGCACCTCCGACACGAGCGTGATGCCGTCGAGCGTCGGGCACCGCGAGCTGCACGTAGAGGCTGTACGGGTCGCACGGCGACGCCACCGCCCTGCCCTCGACCGTCGTCGTCCTCGCCCCCCGCAGCTCGAGCGCGACGCGCTCGATCGTCCCGCCCTGCACCTTGTAGTCGGTGCAGGCGAAGGCCGCCGCGCACGGCAGGCCCCGCCGGCTCACGTCGTTGCGCTGCCACGGCCGCTTCCGCTGCGCCGTGATCCGCCGGACCTAGGGCCGGGCCTGCCGCGCTCCATGGCTGTGTCGCTAGAGCCTCCCCCGATGTCGGCCGCGGCTGGATATCCCGGAACAGCGGCTGCTGGCTTCTGTCGATCCGCTGCTGCCTTGGCCGCCCCGGCCTCCTTCCTGCCCGGGCCGCGGCGCCTCGGCCGGAGCTTGGCGGCGTGAGGAGGAAGCCACCCTCGCCTTCGCCGGCTTCTCTACGTTTCGCCTCCCGCCTCGTCTCCGGTGTCGACGGCGCCGTCTTCCCTTCCATCGCCCCCTGGTCGCTTGTGCCTGGGGGCGTCCTTCCCGCCGTGGCCCTAGTCGTGCCTGCCTCCCCGCGCCGGTCCTCCCTGGATTCCTCGCCGGCCGGCCGCCCGTCGCCTTCGCTTCGGCAGCACCAGCCCTGACGCCCTCTCATGCGCCACCTGCCGACCCTCCGCGCCGGGCACCGGCGCCGCCGAGATCGGCCTGAACCTCATTGCTATATATGGGGCTCTGGGTGCCTCCGTGCTCGGCCTGCGCTGCTCTCAGCCCCGTGCTGCGCTTCTGTACTGGCTGGCTTCATCGTGATGGATGCTGCTACCTCTACTGCGTACGCTCTCTTGGCCTTACCTACTTACTATGCCACCACCTCCTTCGGCAAACATTCTCCATATACGGGCCGCTGGCGTGTAGCCCCCTCTCTTCGCCATGCTCCCGCTCGGCCCATGCCTTCCACATAACACATGCTTCTTAATCACATATCTATATGCCCTCGGCCTCCCGACTTAGCATGTCCTTACATATGCTACTTACTTACTATTATGCCCGCGCTAGCTGTCTGCGGTCCGTACCGACTGACGCCTACTGCCCTACCCGCGGCCGATGCGGCCTCGGCTGTTCCTAGACGTAGGTCCTACCAATGGCTTCTCGTCCTTGACGCTCTATGCGCCACGCTTTCCCTCTTCTCTCCTAGGACCCCATAGCCTACGTCTGGGTCCGTCCCTAGGCGCTTATGTGCCCGCCTTTAGTTCAATGTCTCGTACGCATCAGAGACAATGCTATACCTTTCCTTCACGCTTAGCCCTGCCGTATGGCTTATATATTAAGACCCCTTAATCTCGTAGTAGACCGCCGATTATATCTTTCCTATCCTTTCCTATTGTTCTCGTTGCTTTCATCTATGTCTTCTCTATTACCTATATGGGACCCCTATATATATATGGCCTGCCCTGCTAACCCTTTATGCCTTCTTTTCTCTAGGACTTTAACCTATATCCGATCTTCTAATCTCCCTAACCCTACCGCGCTTCTTAATGCAGTATCGCGCTATATAGGCTTCTTTGCGATCTATATAGCTATGTATGGCTTCCCCCCCTTGCCCTATTGCTTACTAGTTGACTTACTTCCTGCTAGAGGGCTATAATGTCCCCGACGCCGCCTACCACCGACTCTCCGCCGCACCTTCGCAGGCCTCTTACAGGCAATAAGGGCGCCGGCGGCGACATGGCCATGATGTTCTTTGCCCAGCCCGACTGCCCCGTGAGGTTCGCCCACCAGGACGAGCACCGCGTGAGGGGCCTCAACGCCGAGGCCATTGCCCGCGTCCTCCTTCCCGCCCCCTCGTGGCTGCTGGCGCTCGAGTACGCTCCCCTCCGGGCAGCGGGGGATGATAACGATGTCTCCCCCCTCTTCTTTAGCTTGAATCTCTCAATCTACGGCCAGCCGGTCGTCGACTCGGATTGGTCTGAGCAGTGGTTCTTTATGTCCGGCCGCGTCCATCCGTACGCCCTCGCCTGGGAGGTCGAGCGCCGCGACGGTCTCGAGGCCGACGTCGGCGAGACTCTCCTCTATACGATGCCCGCCCTCGTCGTCCGCGACCAGGGCTACCAGCCGTGAGCCTCCCCTCCGTCCTCTTTGCCGCCCCGCTGATCTCTTCCCTAAGCGTCCTCCCGCGCTCCTTGGCACCCGACGGCCACTTCCCCTCGACGCCTCCTGTTGTCTCCTTTCACGGCGTCGTCGCCGGCTCCGGACTTGACCTCCTGCAGGCCGATCTTCTTCCTGGTCTTGGGACCGACCAGCTCCGCTGCTGCGGCCTAATCCAGCTATCGACGTACATCGCCCCTGGCGTCCCGGACAAGGTTCCCTTCAAGGGCTACCACCCCTTTCAGGTCTTTGTCATCTTTCCCATCTATGCCAACCCTTGGCTCGTCCTGTGTAAGAAGCTGGCCGAGAGGTCCGCCTCTCCCTTTCTGCCTGGTATCCCGTTTACCTGCACTGGCAAGGTCGCCGGCCTTCTCGATCATGGCGTGATGTGTGTCCCGCCCGGCTCGGACCGCGATTACGTCTTCGTCGTCGTCCCGGATAGCTGGACTTTCCATGATAGGTCTTCCGCCGCTGCCGCCTCCGCTTCCCCGCTGGCCCAGCCCTGAGGCGTCAACCCTCTTCCACCTCCTCTGCGTTTGACCTCGTCCGCGCCGCCTCCTACTCGCTTGCTACGCCGCCTTCGACCGCGCCGCACACGCCTTCCAAGGCTCCGGGCCCGCCTGCCGATGCGCCTGTGACGCCGCCGCCCAAGCGGGCCTGCTCGGCCGTGGCCGACTCCCCGATTAAGAGGTCGCGCACCTTGCACCAGCACCATTCGCTTCCTTCCTCCTCTTCGAGCACTGTTGGCTCCGCCGCCACTTCCTCCTCACCCCCGCAGTCCGCCTCGTCGTCAAGGCCGCCCGGGGACACGCCCGCTCATGCCCTGGCCGCCGCGCCCGGTTCCCTTCTTGACTCTATCGTCGCTAGTACTAGCGACGCGCCCATCCGGCCCCTCCGCCAACGCATGCAAAAATGAGCCTACTATCTGAATAACACTGAATCTATACTTGATATCTACTAAACTCTCCAAAAATAATATACCTCTACAACCTAGTTACTATATAAGCTAGGCCTATACTCTCGCTATACTATTAATATAAGAAAAGCTACCCCTACTTATTAGTCTATATCTCACGGTACTAAGGTACCTACACACCACGTGTCTATAGCCACATACATATATGCCCGGCCCTCGCATACTGTCCATAGCTCTGTATCCGACAACATCGTTCTTCCTCGTTGCCTAGTCCGCCCCGTGATACTATAACTCCACTTCCCCCTCTTCCCTTCCCTCCCCTTCTTACCTTTACTATATATTACGAGCTAGGCCTAGACTAACTTTATGCAACTGGACCTACTTCTTGACGTAGGTATAACTCCTTTCCTTCCTCCTCTTTACCTCTATATTCTCGTCCTTATTAGCTTATTCGTTCTAACTAGGTAGCTAGTTAAGTTGAACTTGCTGAACTGTTACACCCCCCATTCCTTCTGCCTCTCTGCTGCTGTTTATTCCTTTCTCTTCCCCTCTGGTCGTAATCTTCGTTCCGAAAGGCTTATTGCGCAACCCGTGCGGGGTTGCCTTACCCGTTGCTTCATAACGCCATGCCTTGAGGAACGAAAGGACTTTATGCCCCACCCCCGGTTTTGCCCCTCGAAATCCCCGCTTCTGATTCGCTCGGTCGATTGGCTACGGTCATTTCGCCTTCGGTTGGGCCTTTCGCCTTCTGTTTGTCATGTCCTGGGGCATCTGATTCGCTTGTCCGTGCCCTGAGACTTCTGATTGCCCAGAATAATAAACCGCTTTCGCTTCTGGCCCGTTGAAAACCCCTTCCCATTCGCTTGTGCCGCCTGCTCCACCGGTCGCCCTGACCCAATTTTTCCATTAGTAATGAAGTCCTTGCAAGGGTCGGTGTGGGTCATAGCTAAGTTATTGGTGTCGCGCCCTCTTGGGTTAAGTTACCTACTGCTCACCGTCTCTGTCCCCCGCGCTCTCACCGAGCCTGTTGCACATCGCTTCCCGAACAGTTCTATCGCTCAGTTCCTCCAGCCTCGCTTGTGCGGCGGTCATCTACCCGGGGACCCGGTTTCCCACTAGGTCTCTCTCGCACTTTCGACACGAGCATGATGCCGTCCAGCGTCGGGCACCGTGACAGCTGCACGTATAGGCTGTACGGGTCGCACTGCGACGGGACGGCGCGTCCGCCGACGTTTGTCGTCCTCGTCCCCCGCAGCTCGAGCGCCACGCGCTCCAGCGTCCCCCCCTGCACCTTGTAATCCGTGCACGCGAAAGCGGCGGCGCACGGCAGGCCCTTTCGGCTGACGTCGTTCTGCTGCCACGGTCGCTTCCGTTGACACTGGATCCTGACGCTCATGGGCGTCAGCAGGATCGTGCCGGGCGGCATCCCGACGAAGTGGAAGTCCTTGGTCGTCTTCGACCCCAGTATTATCGCCGCCGGCGGCCCGAAGTGGATCGTCATGTCGGCCGAGATCCGATGCCCCGGGTGCGCCTTGTCGACGATGACCTCCACCGCCGTGTAGCTAGCACCGTTCACCAGCTTCAGCCCCTGGTGGGTGTTGTGGTTCACGACGACCGGCATCCCCGGCACGAACATGAAGACGGCCGGCACCGGGATCGCGCTGTCGTCGCCCTGGTTCAGCATCATGATGGCCTCTTCCTCGGTCGGCAGGCCGTCCTTCCACTTGTGCTCGGAGAGGAAGATGCGCACCGTCGACCGCTGCTGGATCTGGAACGCCAGGCTCGCCTCCATGTTGAGGTTCCACCGATTTCTGTTGAGCGGCGTCACCACGGTGATGCCCGTCTCCCACGGGATCCGCCTGCCTTCCCGGTGGCACCTCGAGTTGAGGAGATCCAGGTCCGTGTGGTCCTGCACGCCCCCGCGGATCCGCTTCAGCAGCCGCTGCAGCTCCGGGTCGCCGGCGGCGCGCATCTGCTCGTCCAGCATGACGGCCGTCGTGAACCGCCTCCACAGCGCGTGCGCCTTGTCGTGCTGGTGGCGCTGCTCGGCCCTGAACGAGTTGTCCTCGTCCCACGAGACGGCCGCGCTCGGCAGCAGGATCGACCTCTCCTGGACCGGGCGGAACTGGTGGAAGTCCCCGCAGAAGAGGACGATGGGGATCCGCCGAAGTCCCGCTGCGATCCCCGCAGCTGGCAGATCCGCTCGTTGACGGCGTGCAGCGTCCGCGCGCCGAGCATGCTCACCTCGTCGATGACGAGCATGTCCTTATCCTGCCAGTCCATCCGAGACTGGCCGTTGACGAACCGCTCCGCCTGCCTCGGCAACCGCACGCCGTCGACGTCCTCGCCGTGTTCGCGCCCGGCCCTTGGTCCTGGTGAAGCCGCAGGCCGAGTGGATGGTGATGCCGTTGACCGCGCGGCGGCGGTCCCCGACGTCGCCGTGATCAGCAGGCGATGCGAGAGGTCCTTCGCGGCGAAGAGGCCCACGAGTGCTTCGATGACGCGCGACTTGCCGGTGCCGCCCTCGCCGCCGACGAACTGACAGAGCTGGCTGACGTCGCCTCCGTCTCCTTGCCGCATCGAGTCCAGGTGGCGGCATATTATGGAGAAGGCAATCGCCTGCTTCTTGTTTAGCGTCAATCGTCTTGTCAAGTCTTTCCCGGCCTCGTGAAAGGAGGTGGATGGGCCGAGGCGGACTTCCATGCCGGCCTCCGCGTTACCTGCCCTCTCCTCGGTTTCCACTCGCGTCACCTGGACGTCTTCCTCCCCGAAGCCGGCGAGCACGCTCCGCTCCGCTGCGCCGCGATCGGTACCGTGGGCCGGGGCCATGCTTTGTATGCCCTGGATCATCTTCACCCTCTCTGGAGGCGCATGTCTGCTGCGACTTGATGGCCTTGACCTGATCCTGCGGCGGCACTGCAGCCCCGGAGAACACCTGCCCGGGCATGTTGATGTGCCCCACCCCGTTCGGTCACGACGGTGGCCCGGAGCTCGGCCGTCGAGGCTAGCGCTGATTGCTGGAAGCGGAGAGCTGCTGCATCATTCCCGAAAGCTCCCGCGACCCCGCCGTGATCTGGTTCGCGCCGGTCGCGCTTCTAACGACATCGATCAGTCGCGTTGCGTTTCCGACGTTGTCGGACTGGTACGCGGATCCCGCCTCGCGGTCCGCCTCGCCCGGCCCTCCCCATCCTCCCCCAATCGCCAGGTGCGCCGGCCGGATCCCCGTCGCCGGACGACGCTGCCCATTGCTTGGCGTCTCGCTTTGCGTCCTCGGCGGACCGCCGGAGTAGTTGAACGTTATCGACGAGGCACGAGGTTCTTGGCGGAAGCCGCTCTCGTGCGCGCCTCCATATCTCGTTGATGTCGCCTCGCTCTTCGCTAAGAAAGGTCTCCACGGCGCGAATAGGGCAAGATGCTGCACGGCTGCTCTGTAGCGGCACGGTTAGTCACCGCGCGTTGGGACCGCTTTTCGACCGGCCATCCACCGCACCTACTTACCGGCGGTGGCATTGTTCCTCGTCGTCTTGCTCGAAATCCTTGCTAAGGTGGCCGTCAAGGCAGACGACGGCGTGCTTTCCTGGCCGCCTCAATACCTGCACCCAGTCTTTGCCGGCCACCCAGCCGCTCTCGAAAGGCACCTCTCCCAGGCACCGGAGCACCCGTCCTTGCCGACGCGTTGGAGCCTGACGAGCGAAACATAGTCATATAGGCACAAGCCTCGTAGGACGTGTCCGCGATGATGGTACGCCTCGGCGAAGCTGATCCTCTCGCCTGCTTCCTCCACGGCGACCGACTCGTCCACGGACACGTCTGCGACCGCGGTGCCGCTCTCCTGCCGAAGGTGTCGCCAGCGCCTGGAGACGTGCCAGTAGAGCACCGACACGTTCAGGTACGCCCAGGCGCTGCTGCTCGTGAACTCGCTCGGGTATCCCAGGAGATGGGCGACGACCTCGACTTGCGACAGGGCGCGCTCCGTGAATATCCTGTTCGCCACTCTCATCAGAAACTGCCGCGTCTTATTATTCTTGGTTCCGTCGTCGCCGCCGACGACGCCATTTCCGGCATCCTCCTGGCACCCGGCTGGCCACCTGCTGCGACGACGGGCAGCAGTTCCGCGGCCGCGGCGACGCGCTTCCACGTCGGGTCCTCTACCTTGGTCGCGTAATTTGTCACGTAATAGACGAGAGCCATGGTCTTCCGCTGCGTCGCTATGAAGGAGATGTCGTGGTTGTGGCGGAGCCCCACGGCGATGGCCTTGTTCCACCGATTCACCATGGGATGCGTCCTGCGGATCCGCAGCACGCCGTCCTGTGAGAGCGTCGTCTCCTCGACCAGCTTCCATGGCGCCTTGAAGCGACAGAGGTCGCCCCTTCGCCCCTTGTTGCCCAGGGAGTACTTGACGCATGTCGGGCTGTGGGTGTGGATCTGCGTCGCGCCGGCGCAGAAGTTGGCTTCCTCTTCGAATCCGGCCGAGAACTGCTCGGCACTGTCCAGCAGGGATGAGACGTCAGACGTCACCGAACGCTCCGCCTGCACGGCGCAGAAGCCTTCCTGGTCCAAGTCCTGCCTTCCGCGTCAGCCTGCGTCTTCTCGGCCCATGACAGCAACGCCCCTTGCTGTTACCTACCTCACAGAAGACGCTATCGACATAGCGGATGATTCGCTCACGGTACGCCGCCTGCTCCTCCCCGTGGGCGTCGGAAAGCATGGAGCTCAGGTGCGCGTTTCCGTGTAACCAGAGCAGCCCGTGGACGTGAAGGGATCCTCGTTCGTTGGTCTCCACGGCACCGTAGTAGTGGCCGATGCGCCCGAACACCGACTCCCCTGCATTTACGTAATGCTCGAAGAACAGCGTCATCTCCCGGTGGAAGAACATGGCTGAGCTCATCGGGTCGGAGACGGACAGCCTCACCCGTTTGAACGACATATCGAGGCTCCGCAGGAACTCCTCGGCCGCCTCAGGGTCGCGCGTGCGGTACGCTGCCAGTCGGAGCTTCACCGGGTTCGTGATGTCGTTTGGGTTGATCGTGAACCAGATCGCAGGCACGCCGTAGCGGACGATGAGCGCCAGGATCTTGTGCCGCATACTGAGACGGAGCTCTCTCGACATGGGCTGACGATAGCCATAGAGCGAGAGGCTCCTGAGAAGCTCTTTCACGCCGTCGTCGGTCGTCTTGCCTGTGCTCTCCAGCTCGGCTCTAGCTGCCGCTAACCCGTCTGCGGTCAGCGACCGTACGATGCGCTCCACCTTGCGGAAGTTCTTCCTCGTCACGCTCAGCATGCTGACGCGGCGGTTCCTCGACCGCACGCCCATGTTGAAGACGAGGAATGCGAAGATGTGGTGCGTCGCGAACCGGCCGCCGTGGCGTCGCAACACCGTGTCGGCCCACGTACGAAGGCTCATGTTCCGGGATGACAGGAGGTCCTGCGACCCGCCTCCGCCGCCGCGCGCGTGTTGACCGAGCCTCTGCCCAACTGCGAGCTTGCTTCCTCGACCGGCCGCGGCCCTCCGACACCGAATGGTAATAGCGTGGAAAGGTCTTTGCGAAGAAAGAAGCTTCGAACGAGTCGGCGAATTCATCCCCGCGGCGGACATGGATGAATGGTTCAGGACCATCGACGTGCCCCGGCTGCCCCTTGCCGAGGATTCGACCCACGTCCTCGGGCCCGTACCGTCGTCGGCTGCGCCTTGGCGAACGGAATCGCATGCGAACCGCAGCTTGTCGACGTCGGCCACGTCGGGCGGTCCGTCCAACGCAAACATCCCTGACGAGGTCACCTCGTTGACCGTCTTCGCATTATCATCGGCCTCGCCGCAGCTCTGACCACGCACCTCGTCCACCTCGCTTGCCTCTGGCTCGCCGGCCTCGCGACTCGTCGTGCTTTCCCCTTGGTTGAGCATGGCGAGGACTTCTTCGATCTCCACCGCCCCCTCGTCGTCCATGGCCCGCTCCGTGGGCGGCACGACGTGCGCCGTCCGCGTCTTCTCCCACGCCGACGGCTCGTTCCGCTCCAGGCGCTCGTACACCAACGGCGGCACCCCGTGGGCCGGGTCTCCCCAGCTCTCCATCTCTGCCGCGTCGATCTCGATCGCGGCGTAGTGGGGGTTGTTCCTCTTCAACCAGACAAGGGCTCTCTCGACGACTCGCCGCCTCACCGATAGGAGACTCGACAGATCGCTCGGTGTCGGCCTTAGCGCCCCCTGCCACGAGACGTGGATCTCGTCCATTACCTGGAAGAGAGGGTGCGGCAGCACGTCCGTCGCCAGCTCTTGTACGTTGTTTGGGAACACCGTGATGTGGCCCTTGACGTGCTTGGGATACCTTAGCGTCTGCTTCTGGCCGCCTGAGACGTTGTACCTGGTTACGAATCCGTAGCACGAGTTCAGCGCGATCAGCTTCTCCTCCACCGGCGTCAGGCCCTTGAGCTCATCCGGGAACGTGTGCTCACAACCGAGACGTCTATGAAGCTGCGCCGCTGGCGACAGCACACCGCACGCCAAGCGTCGAGAACACTCTGCGCAAACCGGGACAGGCTCGCCCTCGCGGAAGCAACTCCGGCACGCAAATGGCGACCACCCAGCCTTAGGGATAGGACTTGACAACCACTGGTCCCATGCCACCTCCCTCAGCTCTTTTCTCGTGCGCTTCCGGTAGCACAGCATGCACGTCCGTATCGGCAGCGTGTCCACGTCGTGGAACGCCCGGTAGAAGCTCCGCACCGTTGATACCTTCCTCTCGTGCGGCACTGGTGTGCACCACGTTTGCTCGTTGGACAGCCTCTCCTTCGCGGCGAATTCCTCCCAAGGTGACGTAAGACGCCGGCCAAATCCTCCGCCTGTGACTCACGGCTCCTCTGCCTCCGATGGCCGCCTCGACTACGTTTCGCCTGGGGCTGGTCTCGGTCGGGCAGGCGGTTCCTCTTTCTCTGTTCCACGGGCTGCGCAGATATTGCCGCTGCCTCGTCTCGCCTCGGCCGATCTTGTTCTCCCGCCGCCGCCTGACGTGATGGCCGTGGTGTCAACTGTCCGGATGACTGCAAATATCCGGCTCCATCCTCCATCTCTAGCTTCGATTGGCTGGAGGGGATGCCCTGACGACTCCGGCCAAGTCCCGACACTGGTTGCCGGCCGACCCGGTCCCGCCTGGCGTCCGCATCGCTGCAAATCTCCTGTCCCATCTTCTATTTCTAGGTTGGATTGGCCGAACGAGGACTCCCCGACAACTCGAGACGAGATCCCGACCCTGGTTGCCGGCCGATTCCGTCCTGCCTGGCGTGGTGGCCGTGGTGGCAGCCGTCCGGATGACTGCACATCTCCTGCTCCATCCCCACCTCCTAGATTGGCCGCCTCGAGTACGTTTCGTCAGTGGCTCGTCTCGGTCGGGTTGCCGGTTCCTCTTTCTCTGTTCCGCTGGCCGCGAAGATCTTGCCGCAGCCTCGTCTCGCCTCGGCCGGTCTTGTTCTCCCGCCGCTGCCTCCCTGATGGCCGTGGTGGCAACCGTCCGGATGAGTGTGTATCTCCGGCTCCTCTTCCATCTCTTTCGGTTGGATCGGCTGAACGACGTACTCCTGACGACTACTCTGGGCGAGGTCCCGACCCTGATTGCCGGCCGACCCTGTCCGCCTGGCGTCCGGGTGACTGCAAATCTCCCGCTCTGTATTTTATTTCTTTAGGTTGGATTGGCCTAATGAGGCGCTCCCTGACAACTCGAGACGAAACCCCGACACTGGTTGCCGGCCGATCCTGTGCTCCTGGGCGGCTTGAGTGTCCGTCGGGGCCCTTGGGCCTCGTCTGCGCACCACCCCTTCGCTTTCTAGTCGTGCCCTCTGACGCCCTCCACGACCCGGACGCACGATCCGCCCTCGTCCGAGGGAGGTGTCCGGCCGCGCCCTGATCCCTTTCGGCTGGATGGGTTGTTGCGGCAAGCGCTGGCTTACGTCCTCTGGCCGAGATCTTGTTAAACGTCGCGCTGCCTCTCCTTTGCAGAGGCACCATCAACGCGCGCCGTATTTTTCGCGACCGACTGCCTCGCCGACTTCCCTGAGGCGACGCTCTTTCGGGTGCTTCCGCTTGCTCTCCTCCTGAGACCTCCCGGACATCGGCGCTTGCTTCGCCTCGATAGGCCGCAACCCAGGTGCCGGGCCCGCTTGACTTTCGCGGCCCAACGCCCGCTTCGGTCCTTCGTCCGTCGCGCTCGGTCTCGCCTTCGCAGTATTCCTCCTCGTAGCAGCGGCCGCTGCCCCGATGCACGACCCGGCCTCGCCAGAAGGACGATTGTGCCCGGCCACGTCCCTGATCCCTTTGGGCTGGATGGGCCGGGCGACTGCAGGCTCGCCTCTCCCAGCCGAAATCCCATCCTGCTTGTCGGTCTCCCCTCCTCTGTTCCCCGGCACCAGTTGTCCGCCTAACAAGACCCTTCAGAGTCATCCGTACGCCACCGATGAGTTGCCCAGGCCGAACGATCTCGTGGCCACCTCCGGCCGCGACGGAAGATCCCCTGCCGCTTAGGCATTCGTTTCGCCCAACCAAGACCCTGGGGCGGGTGGTGCTTGCAGAGCAACTATGCCTGGTGCGCCTCTCTCGCCACTCCTAGCCCTCATCTCCTTCGCCAACGTGTGCCGCTGCGGTACGAGGTTGTCGGCCGCTCCTCCAACACAGCGCCAACGGACGGCGTAAGACCCCGCCTAGCCGGCTCAGCAACTACCGACCCTATTGTGGCAGCGTCTGCTTCTATGCTTGGACACCTATCACGCGCGTTTATCGCTTCTGAGCGTCGCGCCCGCCCTCCCTTCGAGGAGGCGCCATTGACGTGCGTCGTCTTTTCCCGCGGCCAACCGCCTCGCCGACTTCCTTGGGCAACGCTCTTTGAGTGCCTCTGCTTGTTCTCTTCGTGAGGCCTCCTCAGCCAGCGTTGCCTGCTTGGCTTCGATAGGCCGGAACCTAGGTACCGTATTAGCTTGGCTTTCATGGTCCGAGGCCCGCTTCGGCCCTTCGTCCGTTGCACTCAGTCTCCCGCCGTAATGCTCCTCGTCGCAGCAGCGGCCGCTGCCACCGTCGCTATTTCGCACCCTCTTGCCACCAACCTAGCCTCGCGGCTAGGATTCTCCCCCATGCTGGTGCTTTCTTGACGGCTAGGCTCTGCAACCGTACGATGGATAGGAAGCTTTCGCTCGCGATATACGCTGGGATTGCCTTGCTTCCCGGCGATGGCGTTCCGCCGTATCGCCATTCTTCCTACCAGCGGTCTGTCTCCAGCAACCTTATAGTCTTTATAACTCGGGGACAACGCGGCAGTGCTTGTCCGGGACAGACCCCCTCCCTTCTCCCCCGCGGTTCCTAACTCCGCCGCCACGCGTCTTTCCCGGCGGACGGCCTCGACTAGCCCATGCGCAGGAGCTGACACCATAAAAATCTGCCTGGCGAGGTCTTCTCCTCCTCCTCGGTTCTCCTCCGCATCTTTCTATTTGGCCGTTGCAAATAGGCGGCCAAAGGAACATTGTGCTAATCTTTCTTTTCCTCGGTATCTCTTAGTATTCCTGCTGCACCGAAAGTAGGAATGGCCCTCCTTCAGCTCGCCCTCACCTATAACGGTTGCTTCCGGTCCCCTTTCCCGACCTTCCTATCAAGTGTAACCACGACCTTCCCTGCAACACCTCCCCGTGCGCTTTGTACGTGTTATATATTAGGTCGGTCTCTACCCCGCGAGGAGGGCAAACTAATTGGTGTACAACAGGGCGTGGAAAGGTATGACAAGGTTCCCTGTGCTGATCTTGCCTGCTTCATCCCCGCCCCTTATCTTCAGCCTTCTAAAACGCCCCCTGTTTATGTCCTTCCTTATTGATGTCCTCCTTTTGCATCAGGCCTCTGCTCTCCCAGGCCTGCTGGGCTTCCTCTGGACCTATCGGCAGGCTTATCTGCCGACAGCCCTAGCTTTCGGCCTCCCATGCCGCCAGCCCTGCCGGACACTTTAGTCCGCGCCGCCCTTGGTGCCTGATCGGAACCCAGCTACACGACACCACTACGCATCTCTTCAACGTCCGTTTACTTACAGCGGCAAGGCTCCTCGCCCTTCCCGGCGAATCTATGTCACCATTGATCTATCCCAAGTGCTTTCACGCTCGACTTCTTCCCTACTCCTTTCTTTCTTGACACTGAGCACTGGTCATTTTCGTGCGCGCGACTGGCCTATCGACCTGCGTTGCTGCACCATGTCTTCCTCTCTACCTCCCATCGATGTGCCCGCACCACACCTTCGAAAGCCGCTCGATAGCCAGAGGGCGCTGGCGGCGAGATGTCCATGGTGTTTTCGTCCAGCCGGATTGCCCCGTTAGATTTGCCCACCAGGACGAGCACCGCATCAAGGGTCTTAACGCCGAGGCCATGGCCCGCGTCTTGCTGCCTCCGCCCGCCTGGCTGCTCGCGATGGAATATGCGCCCTCCGATCGGAGGCCGACGATTCCCGACATCCGTCTTCTTTAGTCTCAATCTCTCGATTTACGGCCAGCCTATTGATGCCTCAAAATGGACGGAAGAGTGGTTTTTCATGAATGGCCGCGTCCACCCTACGCCCTTGCGTGGAGATTGAGCAGCGCGACGGCCTGAGTCCGACACGGGCGGCACCCTTCTCTATACGATGCCCGCCCTTGTCGTCCGCGACCAAGGCTACCAGCCGTAAGCCGTGCCCTGTTCCTCGCAAGTGCCAACGAAAGATACATAGCTAAGGTGGGCCTGAAGCGTTCTTCCTAGGCTCTTGGCCCCTATGGACGACTTCCTGCGTCCCGCCTATTGTTTCCTTTACCGGCCTTATCGTCGGCACCGGCCACTCCTTGCTCCGGCGGGACCTCCTGCCGGGTCTAGACGCCGCCCAGCTTAACTGTTGCGGCTTTGTCCGCCTTTCTACCTACGTCGCTCCTGGGATGCCCAATAAACTCCCCTTCAAGGGCTTCCACCCTTCCAGGTCTTCGTCATCTTCCTATTCGCGCTAACCCTGGGCCATCTTGTGTAAGAAGATGGCCGAGAGGCGGGACTCTCAATTCCAACCCAACGTCCCCTTTACTTGCACAGCCAAGGTCGCCGGCCTGCTCCGTCATGACGTTATGCTCTATCCCCCAGGCTCCGACCGGGACAACGTCTTTATTGTCGTCCCGGATTCTTGGACATTTCTCGACAAGGCCGCCGCCGCCGTCACCCCAATGACACCACTTCTCTCTACACCACAGAGGCAGCAGGCGTCCTCCCCTTCCGCGGCCTTTCAGGACATGCGCGCTGCCTCTTTGTCTTTGGCCACCCCTGGCACCCTCCCGCTCAGCCCTCCACCTTTGGCTTCGGCTTCGCCTCGACCGGCCCCTTGGGCCGCCCGGGAAGCGATGTTGCCCCGAGCCTGCCGATACGCCGACGAAACGACCGCGGCTGCTGCATAAGGCCCCGGTGCCTTCGTCTTCCCTAACCCTGGCTCATCTGCCACCCAGTCGTTCTCTGTTTCGGCTGCCTCCTTGACATCTAAGCCGGATAGCCCTAAACGGGGTCATGTCTTAGGGGACTCTTCCCTCCATTCCATTGTCGCGCATGGCTTGGACTCGCCGGCCCGTCCACTCCGAAACCGTCCCCTATCTAAGAAAGCTACCGAAACGGAATAACGATGCGAAACCATAAACTGCTACAGTTTCCTAAACGAGTAAGACAGTTAAATCTTATACTTTAAGTTAACCTACTCCTTAACCCTACCCTGGTTCTATCACTCTTTTTCACTCCGTCCTTAAGTCCCCCCTGTTCTTACTCCATCCTCAATCCTCACGTCTGCCCCTTTTTTTTCTTCCTTAAGTTTTTTTCCCTGTAGTCTTTCGTTCCTCAAGGCTCTTTGCGCAACCCCCGTTGGGTTGCCTCTCCTGTTTCAAGGAAATACCGCCCTGCCAAGGGAACAAAACTTGATGATTCAGCCCGAAGGGCGTTTGCCTTGTGCCTTGAGGAACGAAAGGACTTCATTAGCGCGCGGGGAAAAAAGGCCCCAGACTGCTTCACCCCCACATCCTCCGCCTCTGATTGGCTGATTTATTTCCTCTTTCGGAATAAAAGATCCCGTGTGATTGGTCGCCGACCCTTCCGTCCCTCCTCGTCATTGGTCGCTGCCGCCTTCTCTTGCCCCTCTCATGCCTTGCCCTGTTTCCCCCCCGTTATATTACTCCTGTTTACCCCCTTGCCAATGCCAATGCCAACCTTTTTCCTTTCGTCCGCCGGTTTTCTTATTGTGTCTAAAACTTGCGTCTTTTGTCTTTGCCCTTTTCGTTCATGCCTTTCTAGCGGGTTCTTCCTTCAAGTCTAAAAGTCGCCCCTCGTTGATCGCTGCTGCCCAGTGCCCTTGTCTTCTTGCCCGCCGGCGCGCTCCTCCGTCTTCTCCCCCTCGTCACCTCACCCTGACAACTCTCCTTACTCTTCAGCGTCGCCATCCGACCGACGCAAAGCTTCCTCGACAGTCCTCTCGCTTAGCACCTCCAGCCTGGCCTGCGCGGCGGTCATCTCTTCGGGGACTCGGTTGCCCACCAAGTCTCTCTCCGCACCTTGGACACGAGCGTGATGCCGTCTAGCGTTCGACAGCGCGATAGCTGCACATATAAGCTGTACGGGTCGCATTGCGAGGCACGGCCCTTCCATCGACTTTCGTCGTCCGTGTCCCCGCAGCTCCAGGGCCACGCGCTCTGGCGTTCTGCCCTGCACCTTGTAGTCCGTGCAGGCGAAGGCTGCTGCGCACGGCAATCCCTTCCGGCTGACGTCGTTCTGCTGCCACGGCCGCTTTCGTTGGCAGTGTATCCTGACGCTCATCGGCGTTAACAAGATCGTGCCCGGCGGCATCCCGACGAAGTGGAGGTCCTTTGTCGTCGCCGATTCCAGTAATATCCCGCCGGCGGCCCGAAGTGGATCGTCATGTCGGACGAGATTCGATGCCCTGGGGACGCCTTGTCGACAATGACCTCCACCGCCGAGTAGCCGGCGCCGTTCACCAGCTTCAGCCCCTGATGGGTGTTGTGGTTCACGACGACCGGCATCCCGGCCACGAACATGAAGACGGCCGGCACGGGATCGCGCTATCGTCGCCTTGATTGAGTACCATGATCGCTTCTTCCTCGGTCGGCAGGCCCTCCTTCCACTTGTGCTCGGAGATGAAGATGCGCATCGTCGACCGCTGCTGGACCCGGAACGCCAAGCTTGCCTCCATGTTTAGGTTCCACCGATTCCTGTTCAGCGGCGTCACCACGGTGATGCCAGTCTCCCAAGGATCCGCCTGCCCTCGCGGTAGCACCTGAGTTGAGGAGGTCCAGATCCGTGCGGTCCTGCACACCCTGCCGGATCCGCTTCAGCAGCCCCTGCAATTCCGGATCACCGGCGGCGCGCATTTGCTCGTTCAACATGACGACCGTCGTGAATCTCTTCCACAGCGCGTGCGCTTTGTCGTGCTGGTGCCGCTGCTCGGCCTTGAACGAGTTGTCTACGTCCCACGAGATGGCCGCGCTCGGCAGGACGATCGACCTCTCTTGGACCGGCCGGAACTGCTGAAAGTCTCCGCAGAAGAGGACGATGGGGATCCCCGAAATCTTTCTGCGATCCGCGAAGCCGACAGAGTCGCTCGTTTATGGCGTGCAGCGTCCGCGCTCCGAGCATGCTCACCTCGTCGATGACAAGCACGTCCTTCTCCTGCCAGTCCATCCGAGACTGGCCGTGGATGAACCGCTCCGCCCGTTTTGTCAGCCGCACCCCGTCAAGGTCCTTGGCTGTGTTCGCGCCGCCCGCCCCTTGGTCTTTAGTGAACCCGCAGGCGGAGTGGATCGTGATGCCGTTGATCTGCGCCGCGGCAGTCCCTGACGTCGCCGTGATCAGCAGACGATTCGAAAGGCTCTTCCCACTGAACAGCTCGACGAGTGCCCCAATGATCCGCGACTTGCCGGTGCCCCCCTCGCCGCCGACGAACTGGCAGAGCTGGCCGGCATCGCCCCTATTCGTTTGTCGCATCAAATCGAGCTGGCGGCATATTATTAGGAAAGCGATCGACTGCCTCTTGTTCAGCGTTAGCCGTGTTGACAACTCCTTGCCCGCCGCGAAGAAGGAGGTCGATGGGCCAAGCTGGACGCGCATTCCCGCTTCTGCGTCGCTAGCCGTCTCGTCGGAGTCGGCTGTCGTCATTTCGACGTCGTCCTCCCGAAGCCGGTCATCACCTCCGCAACGCAGCTCGGCGATCGCTTTCCCGGACTGCGACTGTGGTTTGTACGCCTTGGATCATTCTCTCCTTTCCTCGACGCACTTATCTGCTGCGACTTGATAGCCTTGACCTGATCCTGCGGCGGTAGTGCGGCCCCGGAAAATACCCGCCCTGGCATGCTTATGCACCTCAACCCTTGTTCGGGAATCGCGATGGCCTCGAGCTCGGCCGTTGAGCAGAGCGCCGATTGCTGGAATCGACAGAGCTGCCGCATCATTGCCATGAGCTCCGGCGACTTGGCCGTCACCTGATTCGTGCCCACTGCGCCTCGGACGACGTCGATCAGGCGCGTTGCGTCTCCGATGTTGTTGGACCGATACGTCGCTGCAAATTCTGCGCCCGCCTCGCCTGTCTCGCCCTCCTCGACGTGGGCGACCGTGGAATCGCCATCGCCGGATGAGGCCGCCCATTGCTTGGCGTCGCGCTTTGCGTCTTCGGCTGATCGTCGAAGCAGCTGCACGTTGTCGACGAGACATGATATTCTCGGGGCCAGCGCCTCGCGCCCGCTCCCAGATGCTATTGATCTCACCTGTTTCTTCGCACAGAAAGGACTCCCACGGCACAAATAGCGCAAGATGCTGCACGGCTGCCCTTTAAGGGGGAGGGGGGGGAGGTTAGCCACTCTGATGATGCCTGCCGGCAGGGCGGTTGCTATACACACCTCCGGTGGCACGACTCGTCGTCGTCGTGGCCGAAGTCCTTGGTTAGGTAGCCATCGAGGCAGACGCTAGCATGCTTGCCCGGCCGTCTGAGCACCTGGACCCAGCGTCTCCTGGCGCCCATCCATCCTCGAAGGGCACCTCCCCAGGCCGCACAGCTCATCCTTACTGGTGCGTTTTAGTCTAACGAGCGATATGTAGTCGTATAAGCATAGCCCTCGCAGGAGCTCTCCCGGTGCTGGTACGCCTCAACGTGGGAGATCCTCAGGCCTGCTTCTTCGACAACGACCGACTCATCCAGAGTATCATCTATGGCCGCCGCGCCACTTGCTCGTCGGAGATACGGCCACCGTCGAAAGACTTCCCAGTACAGCAGAGATGTGTTCAGGTACGCCCAGGCGCTGCTGTTGGTGAACTCGGCCGGATATCCAAGAAGATGAGCGACGACCTCGACCTGAGATAGCGGACGCTCCGTGAACACACGATTCGCCACCCTCATCAAGAACTGTCGCGTCCTGTTCCCTTGGCGGCGTCATCGCCAACAGCACCTCCACCGTCGTCCTGTCCTCCGTTGGCCGTGCCGTCACCCGTTGAGGCGGCCAGGAGATCGGCCGCGGCCGCCACACGCTTCCACACCGGGTCCTCCACCTTCGTCGCGTAGTTCGTGACATAATACATAAGGGCCATGGTCTTGCGCTGCGTCGCAATGAAGGAAATGTCGTGGTTGTGCCGGAGCCCAACAGCGATAGCCTTGTTCCATCGATTGACCATGCTGTGAGTCCTCCGGATCTGCAACACCCCGTCTGCCGTGATGGCGGTCTTGTCGACCAACCTCCATGGAGACTTAAACCGGCATAGATTCCCTTCCGCGCTCCTTTGCCCAAGGAATACTTGACACAGGTCGGGCTATGCGTGTGAACCTGTGTAGCGCCGGCACAGAAGTTGGCCTCCTCGTCAAATGCGGCCGAAAACTGCTCGGTGTTGTCCAGCAGGAGGAAATATCGGACGTCACAGATCGCTCCGCTTGCACGGCGCAGAACCCTTCCTGATCCAGATCCTATCTTGCACGTCAGCCTGGCCCCGTTTGTCCATCGGACGAGCAATTCAGGTTCTCAGTGACACGTCTTAGCTATTCTTACCTCGGAGAAGACACTATCGACGTATCGTATGATTCGCTCGCGATACGCCGCCTGATCCTCCCCGTGGATGTCGGCAAGCATCGAGCTGAGATGCGCGTTTCCGTGCAACCAGAGCAAGCCGTGAACATGAAGCGCCCTCGTTCGTTGGTCTCCACAGCGCCATAGTACTTGCCGATGCGCCCGAATACCGACTCTTCTCCGACCTTCACGTAATGATCGAAGAACAGCTTCATCTCCCGGTGGAAGAATACGGCGGCGCTCATCGGATCGGACATGGCCAGCCTTGTCCGCTTGTACGCACTCCCAAGGCCTTCTAGGAACTCCTCGGCCGCGCCGGGATCGCGTGTCCGATATGCCGCCAGTCGCAGCTTCACCGGGTTCGTAATGTCGTTTGGGTTGATGGTGAACCAGATGGCCGGAACGCCGTAGCCAACGATGAGCGACTGGATTTTCCGCCGCATATTGAGCCGAACCTCTCTCGACATGGGTTGCCGGTGGCCGTACAGCGAGAGGCTCCTGAGAAGCTCCTTCACGCCCTCATCGGTCGTCTTGCCCGAGCTCTCCAACTCGACCCTCGCCGCCGCTAACCTTTGCGCGGTCATCGAGCGGGCAACGCGCTCGACCTTGCCGAAGTCCTTCCTCGCCACACTCAGCATGCTGACGCGGCGGTTCCTCGACCGCACCCCCATGTTGAAGACGAGAAATGCAAATATGTGGTGCAACGCAAACCGGCCACCATGGCGCCGGAGCACGATGTCGGCCCAAATCCGGAGGTTCAAGCTTCGGGAGGATACGATGTCTCCCGCTGCCGCCCCTGCCTCAACAGCTCTACCGGTGCCTCGCAAGTTGGTAAGGGCCTTCCCCGCCTCGGCTATGGCCTCTTCGGCCAGCCTTGGTCCCCAACGCCAAATGGGAACAGGGTCGGGAACGTTCTGGCGAAGAAGGACGTCTCAAAGGAGTCGGCAAACTCATCCCCGCGAGACTCGAATGTATGGCTCACTGCCATCGTCGCCACGCCCTCGACCCCACCGAGGATCCGACCCACGTTCTCGGGCCCGCGCGGCCGTCGTCGGCACCTGCGCCAACAGCGTCACAGGCAAACCGCAGCTTCTCGACATCCGCCACGTCTGGCGGTCCGTCCAGCAAACATGCCGGAAGACGTCACCTCGTTGATTGGTCGAACGTTCTGATCGGGGCTAGCACCAACTCCATCACGACCCGCGCCTTCTTCGTTGGGCCCGTGCCCTTCAGCCTCGCCTCCCGTTTCCTGCCTTTGCTTGAGCAGAGCGAAGAGTTCCTCGATCTCCACCGACCCCTCGTCGTCCATGGCGCGCTCCGTGGGCGGCACAACGTGCGCCGTCCGCGTTTTCTCCCATGCGGACGGCTCGTTCCGCTCCATGCGATCATACACCAAGGCCGGCACCCCGTCTATCGGGTCTCCCCAACTCTCCATCTCCGCCACGTCGATCTCGATCTCGGCGTAGTGGGGGTTGCTCCTCTTCAGCCAAACAAGAGCCCTCTCGACGACCCGCCGCCTCACCGACAAGAGACTCGACAGGTCGCTCGGTGCCGGCTTCTCCACGCCCTGCCACGAAACGTGGATCTCGTCCAGTGCTTGCAAAGGGGTGCGGGAGCACCTGGTCGCCAGCTCCTGCACGTTGTTGGGAAACACTGTGATGTGGCCCTTGACGTGCCTCGGATACCTCACGGCCTGCCTCTGCCCGCCCGGAATGCTATATCTCGTGACAAACCCATAGCAGGAGTTGAGCGAGACGAGCTTCTCTTCGACCAGCGTGAGTCCCTTGAGCTCGTCAGGGAACATGTGCTCACAGCCAAGGCGAGTGTGAAGATGGACCGCCGGCGACAGACTCCGCGCGCCAGGCATCGGGCACACTCCGCACACACCGACACGGGCTCGCCTTCGGGAAAGCAGCTCCGGCATGAAAATGGTGAGCGGCCGCCCTCTGGCACGCAGCTTGACAGCCATTGATCCCATCTGATCTCCCTCAGCTCTTTTCTCGTACGCTTGCGGTAGCTGTCATGCAGGTCCGTATCGGCAACGTGCTCGCATCGTGGAACGCCTGATAAAAATCCCGCACCGTCGACACCTTCCTGTCGTGCGGTATTGGCGTACACCACGTCTGATCGTTAGACAGCCTCTCCTTCATGGCGAAGTCTTCCTCCAAAAAACGCAGCACACTCGCCAGGTCTTCGGCCCGCAGCTCCCGACTCCTCTGCCTTCCGATTCCACTCCGAATCTGTTTTCTCGGGCGCTCGTCCGGACCAGGAAGACGTTTTCTCTTCTCCCGCCTCCGGGCCGCCTCCGGGCCGCCTCCGATCCATGATTTCTTCTCTCCGTGGCTGATTCGCTTCTTCGCAAGCCGTCGGATGCGGCAGCTTTGGCGACGACTGCCCGACTACGTGCGCATCCTGACACGCCATCCGGCCCTTTGCACTGGACAGGCACCGGGCCGTGCTGGCGAACGTTTTCCACGCCGAACCTTGACCTCAGTCCTTGCCCTTTCCAGCACTCTCCTCGTTCTTGCTGCCGATCAAACTGCACGGGCTCCCCAGCCGCCACCCGCGATGAGCCGCCCACCTCCCTTTGCTGCAGCCTCCGCCCGCTCAGCGAAGCGTCCGCTGGCTCTGCCGCGGCGTCGCCCACCCCCACAGGAGACGGCCCCGGATGCTGCGCCGTACCTGCTGCGTTGGAGACACCCCTGCGGCCTGGTACTCCTTTACCCGCCAACTCCGTCCCCGACGGCGCTTGGGCAAACCAGACGCAATCGCTGCTGCTAATTGCCCGTTTTCTCTTAAGTTGTCGAATACCGGTTCCCTAGGCTGGATGGATCGAAGCTTCGGTACCTCCTTCGAATGAACACTCGGGACATCGCCCGCCGCCGCCGTAACACGTTGCTCCTCATCTTCAGGATCTCCCTCCTGAGGCAGAAAGTGCCGATGAGGGAGCGGACGATCAGAGTCCGCTACCCCCATATCTCCACGTTCCCTAGGCAACAGGGGCCTCGGAAGCTGACCCGGTGACTGATGTTGCGCGGAACTTCCGCTGCTAACCATATTATGGAACTTCCGTGCTCTGTTTGACCGCAAACCGCCTCGCGGCGGTCTTCTCGGCAACGACCTCGCAATTGCTTCTGCGTGCTGTCTCCATGCGGTGTCTTCAACCACAGGTTTCCTAGGCTGAATCGGCCGGAACGTTGATGCCGCATTCGCCCGTGATTCGTATCTTCGTAACCGTCCCAGGCTCTCCCCCCGTGCTCTGCGGCCCCTCTCAGAAGCTGCCACCACATCTACACCGGCTCCTGTCGCACCATCTCCGAGCCCCGAACCCGACCCGCTCACGTTCTCACCCTCTTCTCCATCCCCGACTGACAACGAACAGGCTTCAGGGTGAGCAACCGCCTCGCTTAACTTCACTGCAGGACTGTCCGCCATGCTGCTGCCTCCTCGACGTCGACTGCCGTAAATTGGCAACAGGCTATAAAGCTTTGGCTCCGGAGCACCTCCACTTGGACAGTCTCGCTTGTTGACGACGCTACTTCTCCCGAATGGGAAGCTCCTAACCATCACTTCCTCATGGCCGTGGCGTTTCTTCCTTATAGCTTCCTATAAAATGCTTCCCTATGGTACCGAGGCGATGCAATACTACCCTCTATATTCCCCGTTACCATGCCTATCTATGTGCGTCCACCGTCCCGGCCTCGCCTGGTCTCCACGTGCGACCTGCTACCCCGGCTTTGCCAAAGCGACCCTTCCATCGCCGTGCTCTCTTTTGCGCACTCCAGCGAATCCTGGCCACTGCCGACCTCCGGCACATGGAGATGGCCGCGACAACCGCCTGCCGCACACTTCAAACCATACTCTTCAGCCCTTCCAACACCATCCTACCAACCTTGCGCATCAGTTCACCATCAATACCCGCCAATCCGCCTCGTCGAGCAACAGCCACAAGGCTGCCGGCGATAACATGTCCATGACGTCCCTCATGCAGCCGGACTACCCTTCTAGATTTGCTCCCTCGCCAGCACCAATGTCGCATCAACGGCCTTAATGCTAAAGCGATAGCCAGGACCCCTGCCTGTCCTCTTGTAGTCGCTAGCCACCGGAGTCTCGACTTGCAAACCCTCTTGGAAAGTTCTCGTGACCAACTCGCATCCTCCTCCTCAGGTCGACCCATATATCCGACTTCACCGTGTCCCAATAGTAGACTCGACACGGTCGGCACCCGCCTCGCTCAGCCGCACGCAATGCCCATCCAACTACCGACGACCGTCAAAAAGGGAGTCCTGCAATACTACCATAACCTCTTTCTTTCCTTCACTCTCATTCGTTATTGCCCCCTTTGCTATCTACTCCATGCAACGATGACACCGAAGGGGACTACTGGACTTTCTTTCTCCGCAGTCTTACCCACACTAACCTTACCGTTCGCCGACCTCCAACTTCTCGCAACATAGCCATCACCCCTACTCAACTTCCAACCCCCGGCTCCCTACTTCACTCACGACCACAGAACCAGATGGTCGAGACTGCTCGAGAACCTCGCCAGCTCATTCCCGCATACCCCCGCTTCTGATCTATCACCTAGGTAGCATTCACTGACTCTCAAGTCTCCCCGACCCGAGCCACGAGCCCTCTTTCGAGCAGCAAGAAAACCTGCTTTATAGGATGCCTACCTCTACTCTGCCTAACCCCTCCTTTACACTTCCACGGTGACCACATCTGCCATGTTCTCACGATGTCGGCCTCCCAGCTCAACGTCGATACCTCGTCCTCCCGCGGCAACCTCTTGACAGCCAGAAAATGCTGGCGCCGACATGTCCATGATGGCCTTTGTCCAGCCCGGCTGCCCGTCTAGGTTCGCCTACCAGAATGAGCATCGTGTCAAAGGCTCAACGCAGAAACCCTAGCGAGGTCTTCCTTCCAACGCCCTCATGGCTGTCGACTCCAGAGTATGCAGCAATCCGGTCAGATCCTGACAATCCATCGACCTGCATCTTCTTGAGCCTTAATATTTCCATATACAACCAACAGATAATCCTCGGAATGGACCGAGCAGTGGTTCTTTATGGTCGGCCGTGTTCATCCCTTTGCCCTGACGTGGAAATCGAGCGACGTGATAGCTTCGAGTCGGAGGATGACAACATTACAGAATACACCATCCCGGCTCTCATCGTCCGCGACCACAGCTACCAGCCGTAGGTGTATGCTCCAGACCTCCGTCACCACTACCATCTCTGACGATGGCCACAGAGTCATCCTCGCACCCTCGGCTCGGCGGATGCCTTCCCAGCGATACAACCCATTGTCTCCTTCACGGGACCTGTCATCGGTTCCGGCCGCGACCTTCTGCATGGAAACTCGGCTGCGGCCCTTGACGACACCCAGCTGAGCTGTTGCGGCTTTGTCCAGCTCTCGACCTTTATCTGTCCTGGGATTCCGGGCAAAACACCCTTCAAGGGCTTTCATCCCTTTCAACTTTTCGTCATCTTCCCCATTCACGCCAATCCTTGGACCTCCTATGCAAGAAGATGACCGAGAGGCGCGATAGCCAGTTCCAGCCGAACGCTCTCCTCACCTGCACGGGCAAAATCGCCGGCTTACTCGATCACCAGATCATGACACATGCCCCGGCCTTCGAGCAAGACTATATCTTCATCGTCGTCCCCGATACATGGACTTTCCTTGACAGGGCCATGTCCAACCAGGCTTCTGCGACACAGCTACTGCCGACGACACCCAAGGGCTCAGCAACCCCTCGGACTATAGCGATGCGTTGGCCAGGTTTACCTCTACCAAAAAACGCAAGGCCGCCCCAAGCGGCGCCTCCCCCACGCCGCCTGCATCTAGGTCAGTCGATCCTTATGATGACATCAAAGCGGTCATTGCCCGATCCCGACCAAACCCCAACCAAGAGACCGCGACTTTCTCCAGAAATTTCCACCATAGTCGCCGCCTGTGATAGTCGAGGCCCCGCCAAATCCGACACTTCCTCCCTTCTGTCCCACGAAGACCCCCCAGAGACGGACACCGAGCCAGTCAATCACCCAGCCACATCCGCCTCTGGCCCTATCAGACCTCCGGCGTCAATCTCTTCCCGACCGCACCGCGCCCGACATCCGCCCAAGAATATTCTGTAAAGCAACGAACGAAACAACACAACATGACAAGGAACATGTTTCATCATCCTCAAACTCAAGTGCGAAAGGCCCTAATGGGATATTTCCTTCTCCTCTTGCTCTCCTTTTCACAAAGACAATCCAGTCAAAACTTCTCCAATATACTCCTTATTCTGTTTATATCCACCACTTATAGCACCTGTAAATCCTCAGAGCCTTCCACTCGCCCACACATGCATTACCCACCCACAACTCTCTTCACCCCTGCCGCCTCTCCACGCCCTTTGCGCCTTTGCAAAGCAAAATCTCCTTGCAGCGGCCTAGGCTGCCTCTCTGACGCTCTGTCTCGATTTCACTCACGATAATGCTCTACGTCTCTCGCCGGATCTCCATCTCATATCTCTTATCTCACTCTTCTTCCTGTCTTCCTCTCACTTCCCCTGTCTCCTATCTCCTGTCGCCAACTCTCTCCTCTCCCCGACTTTCTCCTGTCGCCATCGCCAACTTTCGTTCCGAAAGGCCTCTTTGCGCGAGCCGCGGCTGGCGAGCCTTCCCCTCGTATGCCTTGAGGAACGAAAGGCCTTCTAACGTGTATGCCTTGAGGAACGAAAGGCCTTCTAACGTGCCCCGCAGACCCCGCCCTCTCCCCCCAAAAGTTCTCCGCCCCTTGATTGGTCCCTTGTGATTGGTCCCTCCTTGCCTCCCTCCTCGTTGGTCGCTGCCCTTCCCCCGGCTTCTGTTGCCTTTTCGCGTGCCTTATCCCACCACTAGGCGCCTCCCACCCTGTCTGCCGCCTGCCGACTCTTCCCGCCTGCCGAACTCTTCATCGCGTCACCTAGCCCGGCCGCCTTGACTCTTCAGCATCACCGTCCAGCCAGCGCAACGCCTCCTCAACGGTCCTCTCGCTCAGTACCTCGAGCCTGGCCTGTGCGGCAGTCATCTCCTCGGGGACCCGGTTGCCCACCAAGTCTCTGTCCCGCACCTTGGACACGAGCATGATGCCGTCTAGAGTTCGGCAGCGCGATAGCTGCACGTACAGGCCGTACGGGTCGCACTGCGAGGGCACCACCGTTCCATCCATCTTCGTCGTCCGTGTCCTCGCAGCTCGAGGGCCACGCGCTCCAGCGTTTTGCCCTGCACCTTGTAGTCCGTGCACGCGAACGCTGCTGCGCACGGCAAACCCTTTCGGCTGACGTCGTTGCGTTGCCACGGCCTTTTTCGCTGGCACTGTATCTTAACGGTCATGGGTGTCAACAAGATCGTGCCCGGCGGCATCCCGACGAAGTGGAGATATCTCGTCGTCTCCGATTCGAGAATGATCCCCGCCGGCGGCCCGAAGTGGATCGTCATATCGGCCGAGATCCGATGCCCCGGGTACGCCTTGTCGACAATGACCTCCACCGCCGAGTAGCTCGCGCCGTTCACTAGCTTCAGCCCCTGGTGGGTGTTGTGGTTCACGACGATGGGCATCCCGGCCACGAACATGAAGACGGCCGGCACCGGGATCGCGCTATCGTCGCCCTGGTTGAGTATCATGATCGCCTCTTCCTCCGTCGGCAGCTCCTCCTTCCACTTGTGCTCGGAGATGAAAATGCGCATCGTCGACCGCTGCTGGACCCGGAACGCCAGGCTCGCCTCCATGTTCAGGTTCCACCGATTCCTATTGAGCGGCGTCACCACGGTGATGCCCGTCTCCCAAGGGATCCGCCTTCCTCCCGGTAGCACCTTGAGTTGAGGAGGTTTAGATCCGTCCGATCCTGCACGCCTAGACGGATCCGCTTCAGCAGCCTCTGCAGCTCCGGGTCGCCGGCGGCGCGCATCTGCTCGTCCAGCATGACGACCGTCGTGAACCTCTTCCACAGTGCGTGCGCTTTGTCGTGCTGGTGACGCTGCTCGGCCTTGAACGAGTTGTCTACGTCCCACGAGATGGCCGCGCTAGGCAGGACGATCGACCTCTCTTGGACCGGCCGGAACTGCTGAAAATCTCCGCAGAAGAGGACGATGGGGATCCCCCCGAAATCTTGCCGCGATCCGCGAAGCCGGCGAAGCCGCTCGTTCACGGCGTGCAGCGTCCGCGCCCCGAGCATGCTCACCTCGTCGATGACGAGCACATCCTTCTCCTGCCAATCCATTCGAGACTGGCCGTGGATGAACCGCTCCGCCTGTTTCGGCAGCCGCACCGTCAAGGTCTTTGACCATGTTCGCGCCCCCCGCCCCTTGGTCTTTAGTGAACCCGCAGGCGGAGTGGATCGTGATGCCGTTGATCCGCGCCGCCGCAGTCCCCGACGTCGCCGTGATCAGCAGACGATTCGAAAGGCTCTTTTTACTGAACAGCTCGACGAGTGCCTCGATGATTCGCGACTTGCCGGTACCGCCCTCGCCACCGACGAACTGGCGCAGCTGGCAGGCATCGCCCCGTCGGTCTGCTGCATCAAATCGAGCTGGCGGCATATTATCAGAAAAGCGATGGACTGCCTCTTGTTCAGCGTCAGCCGTGTTGCCAACACCTTGCCCGCCGCGAGGAAGGAGGTTGATGGGCCAAACTGAACGTCCATTCCCGCCCCTGCGTCGATAGCGGTCTCGTCGGAGTCGGCCATCGTCATTTCGACCTCGTCCTCCCGAAACCGGTCATCACCCTTCGCAACGCTGCGCGGCGATCGCTTTCCCAGGCGGCGGGCGTGCTTTGTATCCCTTGGATCATCCTCTCCTCTCCTTCGAGGCACTTACCTGCTGCGACTTGATAGCCTTGACCTGATCCTGCGGCGGTAGTGCGGCCCCGGAAAATACCCGCCCTGGCATGCTTAACCGCCTCTCCTCGTTCGATCAGCGCCGTGGCCTCGAGCTCGGCCGTCGAGCGCAGCGCCGATTGCTGAAACCGACAGAGCTGCTGTATCATTGCCATGAGCTCCGGCGACTTGGCCGTCACCTGATTCGCTCCCACTGCACCTCGGACGACGTCGATGAGCCGCGTTGCGTCTCCGATGCTGTTGGGCTGATATGTCGCTGCAGACTCCGCGCCCGCCTCGCCTGCTCCACCCTCCTCGACGTGTGCGACCGTCGGGTCGCCATCGCCGGACGAGGCTGCCCATTGCTTGGCGTCGCGTTTTGCGTCTTCGGCGGATCGTCGAAGCAGCTGCACGTTGTCGACGAGACATGATATTCTCGGGGCCATAGCGTCTCGAGCCCGCGCCCAGATGCTGTTGATCTCACCTGTTCCTTCGCCCAGGAAGGACTCCCACGGCACGAACAGCGCAAGATGCTGCACGGCTGCCCTTCAGGGGGTGGGTTAGCCTCTCCGATAATGCCCGCTGACAGAGCAGTTGCCATACACACCTCCGGTAGCACGACTCGTCATCGTAGGTGAAGTCCTTGCTCAGGTAGCCGTCGAGGCAGACGGTAGCGTGCTTGCCCGGCCGCCTGAGCACCTGAACCCAGCGTCGTCCCGGCGCCCATCCATCCTCGAAAGACATCTCCCCAAGCCGCCCAGCTCTCGTCGTTGCCGATGCGTTTCAGTCTGACGATCGATATGTAGTCATACAGGCATAGGCCTTTCAGCAGCTCTCCCGGTGCTGGTACGCCTCGACGTGGGAGATTCTCAGGCCTTCTTCTTCGACGACGACCGACTCATCCAAGGTGTCATCCGTAGCCGCAGCGCCACTGGCTTCTCGGAGATGCCGCCATCGCCGAAAGACTTCCCAGTACAGCAGAGAACAGTTCAGGTACGCCCACGCGCTGCTGTCGGTGAACTCGGCCGGATATCCGAGAAGGTGAGCGACGACCTCGACCTGTGATAGCGGACGCTCCGTGAACACGCGGTTCGCCACTCTCATCAGGAACTGTCGCGTCCTGTTCCCCTGACAGGGTCATCGGTGGCAGCGTCTCCGCCACCGTCCCGCCCTCCGTTGGCCGTGCCATCACCTGTTGAGGCGGCCAGGAGCTCGGCCGCGGCCGCCACACGCTTCCACACCGGGTCCTCCACCTTGGTCGCGTAGTTCGTGACATAATAGATGAGGGCCATTGTCTTGCGCTGCGTCGCAATGAAGGAAATATCATGGTTGTGCCGGAGCCCGACAGCAATAGCCTCGTTCCATCGATTGACCATGCTGTGTGTCCTCCGGATCTGCAGCACCCCGTCTGCCGTGAGGGCGGTCTTGTCGACTAACCTCCATGGCGCCTTGAACCGGCAGAGGTCCCTTCCGCCCTCCTTTGCCCAAGGAATACTTCACACAGGTCGGGCTATGCGTGTGCACCTGCGTCGCGCCGGCACAGAAGTTGGCCTCCTCGATAAACGCGGCCGAGAACTGCGCGGCGTTGTCCAGCAGGGAACCAATACCGCCCGTCACAGATCGCTCCGCTTGCACGGCGCAAAAACTTTCCTGGTCCAGATCCTGCCTTGCACGTCAACCCGGCCCCACTTGGCCATCAGAAGAGTACTTCAGGCTCCCGGTGGCACATCTTAGGTAGGCATTCTTACCTCTGAGAAGACGCTATCGATGTATCGGACGATTCGCTCGCGATACGCCGCCTGATCCTCCCCGTGGATGTCGGCAAGCATCGAGCTGAGATGCGCGTTCCCGTGCAGCCAGAGCAAGCCGTGAACATGAAGCGCCCCTCGTTCGTTCGTCTCCACGGCGCCATAGTACTTGCCGATGCGCCCGAATACCGACTCTTCACCGACCTTCACGTAATGATCGAAGAACAGCTTCATCTCGCGGTGGAAGAACACGGCCGAGCTCATGGGATCCGATATCGCCAGCCGTGCCCGCTTATACGCATCCCCAAGGCCTTCTAAGAACTCCTCGGCCGCGTCGGGATCGCGTGTGCGGTATGCCGCCAGTCGCAGCTTCACCGGGTTCGTAATGTCGTTCGGGTTGATGGTGAACCAGATGGCCGGCACGCCATATCCGACGATGAGCGACTGGATTTTCCGCCGCATATTGAGACGGACCTCTCGACATGGGCTGCCGGTGGCCGTAAAGCGAGAGGCTCCTGAGAAGCTCCTTCACGTCACCATCGGTCGTCTTACCCGAGCTCTCCAACTCGACCCTCGCCGCCGCTAGCCTTTCTGTGGTCATCGAACGCACGATGCGCTCTACCTTGCGGAAGTTCTTCCTCCCCACACTCAACATGCTGACCCGGCGGTTCCTCGATCGCACCCCCATGTTGAAGACGAGAAATGCGAAGATGTGGTGCAGTGCAAATCGACCACCATGGCGCCGGAGCACGATCTCGGCCCACGCCTGAAGGTTCAAGCTTCGAGACGATACGGGTCTCCGCGGCCGCCTCTGCCTCGACAGCCCTGCCTCGCAAGTTGGCCGTGACCTTCCCGCGTCGACCATGGTCTCTTCAACCAGCCTTGGTCCCCAACGCCAAATGGGAACAGGGTCGGGAACGTCCTGGCAAAGAAGGACGCCTCAAAGGAATCGGTAAACTCACCCCCGCGAAACCCGGATGTATGGCTCACAACCACCGTCGCCACGCCCCGAACCCCGGCTAGGGACCCGACCCACGCTCGGGCCCGCACGGCCGTCGTCGGCACCTTCACCAACAGCGTCACAGGCAAACTGCAGCTTCTCCACGTCCGCGACGTCTGGCGGTCCGTCGAGCGCGAACATGCCAGAAGACGTCACCTCGTTGATCGCTGGAACGTTCTGGTCGGGGCAGGCGTCACTTCCATCGCGAACCGCGCCTTCTCCGTTGGGCCCGTGACCTTCACCCTGGCCGCCGGCTTCTTGTCCTTGGTTGAGCAGGGCGAAGAGCTCCTCGATCTCCACCGGCCCTCCTCGTCCATGGCGCGTTCCGTGGGCGGCACAACGTGCGCCGTCCGCGCTTTCTCCCACCCAGACGGCTCGTTCCGCTCCATACGATCGCACACCGACGACGGTACCCCGTGTATCGAGTCTCCCCAGCTCTCCATCTCCGCCGCGTCGATCTCGATCTCGGCGTAGTGGGGGTTGTTCCGCTTCAGCCAGACAAGGGCCCTCTCGACCACCCGCCGCCTCACCGACAAGAGACTCGACAGGTCGCTCGGTGCCGGCTTCCGCGCCCTGCCACGAGATGTGGATCTCGTCCAGTGCTTGCAAAGGGGTGCGGGAGCACTTTGGTGGCCAGCTCCTGCACATTGTTCGGAAACACCGTGATGTGGCCCTGACATGCCTCGGATACTTCACGCTCTGCCTCTGCCCGCCCGGAATGCTATATCTCGTGACAAACCCGTAACATGAGTTCAGCGAGATGAGCTTCTCTTCGACCGGCGTCAGTCCCTTGAGCTCATCGGGAACATGTGCTCGCAGCCAAGGCGACTGTGAAGGTGGATCGCCGGCGACAGGCTCCTGCGCGCCAGGCATCGGCCACACTCGGCGCACACCGACACGGACTCGCCCTCAGGAAAGCAACTCCGGCATGAAAATGGTGAGCGGCCGCCCTTTGGTACGCAACTTGACAGCCAATGATCCCATGTAATCTCCTCAACTCTCCTCTCGTACACTTGCGGTAGCACCATGCAGGTCCGTATCGGCAACGTGCTCGCATCGTGGAACGCCTGATAGAAGTCTCGCACCGTCGACACCTTCCTCTCGAGCGGTATTGGCGTGCACCACGTCTGATCGTTAGACAATCTCTCCTTCAAGGCAAAGTCTTCCTCCAAAAAGCGCAGCACACTCGCCAGGTCTTCGGCCTGCAGCTCCCGTCTCCTATGCCTTCCGATTCCACTTCGGACCTGTTTTATCGGGCGCCCATCCCGGCTAGGAAGACGGGCTCTCTTCTCCGCCTCCGGGACTGCCTCTGTCCGCGCAGCGAGCCGTCCGCTGCCTCTGCTGCGCCATCGTCCACACCCACCTGTGCCCTTGGCCGCCGAACCGGTCCCCGACGGAGCTTGGGCAAACCCCATGCAATCGATGCTGCAAATTGCGCCGTTCGTCTTAGGTCTTGGAAAGTCGTATCCTTGGGCTGGATAGGTCGGAGCGTCGGTCCCTTTTTCGAACGAACACCCGGGACACCGCCGGTCGCCGCCTTATCTCCCTGCCCGTCACCTTCAGGACCCTCTCCTGGGGCAAAACGGCCGATGAAGGGCGGACTGTTAGAGCCCACTGCCCCCTGGTCTCCACGTTCTGTAGGCAACACGAACCTCGGAAGCGGACTCGGTGACTGACGTTGCGCGGAATTTCCGCTGCTGACCAAATTACGGGACTTCCGTGCTCTGCTTGACCGCAAACCGCCTCGCGGCGGTCTTCTCGGCAGTGACTTTGCGATCGCCTCTGCATGCTTTCTCCATGCGGTTTCTTCGACCGCAGACTGCTTAGGCTGAATCAGCCGGAACGTTAATGCTTCATTCGCCACTGATCTGTATCTCCCGAACCGCCCCAACCTTGTCTCCCGTGCTCCGTGCCCTTCTCGGAGTTGCCCTGTATCATCTCCGCACCCCGAAACAGGCACTCCCCGTTCCTACCTCTTCTCCATCCTCGACTGACAACGAACAGGCTCCACGGTGAGCGGCCGCCTCGCCTAGCTTCCCTGCAGGACTGTCCGCCATGCTACTGCCTCCTCGACGTCGACTAGCGTGGATTGGCAACAGGCTAGAAAGTTTTGGCTCCGGAGCACTTCCACTTGGATAATCTCGCTTCTTGGCGTACACTATTTCTTTCCGAGTGGGAAGCTTCCTAACGATCACTACTCTCATGGCCGTGGCGTTTCTTCCTTATAATGCTTGCCTATGGTACCGAAGCGATGCAATACTACTACCCCTTTGTAATCCCCCATTTACCCTCCCTATGTGCGTCCACCGTCCCGGCCCTCGGCTGGTCTCCACGTGCGACCTGCTACCCCAGCTTTGCCAAAGGCGGCCCTTCCATCGCCGTGCTCTCTTTGCGCACTCCAGCGAATCCCTGGCTACTGCCGACCTCCGGCACATGGGGTGGCCGCGCCAACCGCCCGCCGCACACTTCCAACCATACTCTCCGGCCCTTCCAACGCCGTCCCACCCACCTTGCGCATCAGTTGCTCCATCAATATCTGCCACTCCACCTCGTCGAGCAACAGCCAAAAGGCTGCCGGCGATAACATGTCCACGGTGTCCTCGTGCAACCGGACTACCCGGCTAGGTTTGCTCCTCGCCACCACCAACGTCGCATCAACGGCCTTCATGCTAAAGCGACAGCCAGGATCCCCCTGCCTGTCCTCTTGTAGTCGCTAGCCACCGGAGTCTCGACTTGCAAACCCTCTTGGAGAGTTCTCGTGACCAACTCGCATCCTCCTCCTCAGGTCGTCCCCTATACCCGCCTTCCCCGTGCCCCAATAGGGGACTCGACACGGTCGGCACCCGCCTCGCTCAGCCGCACGCAATGCCCCTCCAACTACCGACGACCGTCAAAAGGGACCCTGCAATACTACCATAACCTCTTTCTTTCCTTCACTCTCATTCGTTATTGTCGCCTTTGCTATCTACTCCATGCAACGATGACACCGAAGGGTACTGCTGGACTTTCTTTCTCCGCAGACTTACCCACACTAACCTTACTGTTCGCCGACCTCCAACTTCTCGCGACATAGCCATCACCCCTACTCAACTTCCAACCCCGGCTCCTACTTCACTCACGACCATAGAACCAGATGGTCGAGACTGTTCAAGAACCTCGCCAGCTCATTCCCGCATACCCCCGCTTCTGATCTATCACCTAGGTAGCATTCTCTGACTCTTAAGTCTCCCCGACCCTAGCCGCGAGCCCTCTTTCGAGCAGCAAGAAAACCTGCTTTATAGGATGCCCACCTCCACTCTGCGTAACCCCTCATTTACACTTCCACGGTGACTACATCTGCCATGTTCTCACGATGTCGGCCTCCCAGCTCAACGTCGATACCTCGTCCTCCCCGCGGCAACCTCTTGACAGCCAGAAAATGCTGGCGCCGACATGTCCATGATGGCCTTTGTCCAGCCCGGCTGCCCGGCTAGGTTCGCCTACCAGAATGAGCATCGTGTCAAAGAGCTCAACGCAGAAACCCTAGCGAGGTCTTCCTTCCCACGCCCTCATGGCTGTCGACTCCGGAGTATGCAGCAATCCGGTCAGATACTGGCAATCCATCGACCTGCATCTTCTTCAGCCTTAATATTTCCATATACAACCAACAGATAATCTCCTCGGAATGGACCGAGCAATGGTTCTTCATGGTCGGCCGTGTTCATCCCTTTGCCCTGACGTGGGAAATCGAGCGACGTGATGGCTTGGAGTCGGACGATGATAACATCACAGAATACACCGTCCCCGCGCTTATAGTCCGCGATCACAGCTACCAACCGTGAGTCTATGCTCCAAATCTCTCTGTCGCCACTGCCCTCCTGACGATATCCATAGAATTGTCACTCGCACCTCAGCTCGGTGGATACTTTCCCAACGATACAACCCATTGTCTCCTTCACGGGACCTGTCATCGGCTCCGGCCGCGACCTCCTGCATGGAAACTCGGCTGCGGCCCTTGACGACACCCAGCTGAGCTGCTGCGGCTTTGTCCAGCTCTCCACCTTTATTTGTCCTGGGATTCCCGGCAAAACCCCTTCAAGGGCTTTCACCCTTCCAAGTTTTCGTCATCTTCCCCATTCACGCTAATCCTTGGACCTCCTATGCAAGAAGATGACCGAGAGGCGCGACAGCCAGTTCCAGTCGAACACTCTCTTCACCTGTACGGGCAAAATCGCCGGCTTACTGGATCACCAGATCATGAAACATGCCCCGGCTTTCGACCAAGACTATATCTTCATCGTCGTCCCCGACACGTGGACTTTCCACGACAAGGCCATGTCCGACCAGGCTTCTGCAACACAACTACTGCCGACGACACCCAAGAGCGCGGTCGGCAATCCTCGGACTATAGCGTTGCGTTGGCCAGGTTTACCTCTACGAAGAAACCCAAGGCCGCCCAAAGCCCCGCCTCCCCCACGCCGCA